CACTCTGTAATAATTCTTTAGTATATTACTTGTGTGGTGTAGAAGATAATTATCTATGAATGTAATTATGTAGAATGTTAACACTCTGTAATAATTCTGTAGTATATTACTTGTGTGGTGTAGAGGATAATTGTTTATGTAGAGATATTGCTTAGGACTTAAAAGTTGTAAGATGATGTCATGGGGTAGGACTAGATAAGTCTAACTTCTTCCTACTTCGTTCAAGCATGTACTAGGTATAAGTAAATTGATATTGGATTATTATTGTTGGATATGTGTGAAATTACATGTGTTGACATATCAACTGTTTTACATGCTTGAATGAATAAATCAAATCAAATCAATTGTTTGAGGTATATTTTTATTTATAAAGCTGTTTTAGTTCAACAGCCCTCATAAGTGTGCAAACTTCTTTCAAAGAGCTCATTTTTCAGTTCCAATCTAAGACATATCTGCTGTCTCTTTTGAGCATTTGGACAGATGGGAAACACATGCTTTCATGTTTTCTGCTCCAGCCACCTGGAACAGTTTTCAGAGGGAAATTTAATTATTAAGTTCATGAACTTGGTATCACTTGGTATTAAAACTAATGTAAATTCTCTGGTGAATGACTTTTTCTATTTGCTTTTGCTCTTTAAATTCATGGTTCTGAAACAGTTTTACTGTCTCCTGTGTTCATAGCTTTTGCAGTACAATGTGAACCAAATTCATAATTTTATTATTAGTTGCATTGATGTTTGTTTTTAATATTATAATGACTGTATATTTTCATGGGATACAATGGACATGTAACAGTCATACCAGCAAGGGCATACTGTATGTAATTTCTGAATAGAAATAGGATGCATGTACAGTCACAACTTGAGAATTCATCTAAAATCTTATTTAATAAGCAGAAAAAGTGGCAAACATAAGAAACAAGTTGGCCACTAGCTGATATCAAACCCTAGTAGAAACAATGACGTCTTTGTAATATTCTGAGTAGGATATTTATTATTAACTGGACCTGTCTGAACTAATCCTAGAGCATCTATTTTACAGCTATTACAGAGCTATTGAGAAAAAAACAGCTCATTGGGCCATGCTTTTTGACAACTGATGACAATGCGTGTAGCAGGATGATGCCGCCATGAAAAGAATACTGGTGTTTTCACCTAAATATGATTAATCTATTAAAAACAAAAAAAGTGTAATACCTTATATACTCATATTGACTGATATGTTTCCAACAAGTGAAGGTTTTGCACATAGTGAGACAATGTCCTTATTTAAATGAAAGTGTTAAGATAAATAAAAATATGATGGAACTATTAAAAAAAAACAAAAAAAAAAACATGGACTAATACTTGTATGTTCATACTGCAAGATATTTTCCTACAACTGAAGGTGTGTGTGTGTGTATATAGTGTCCTTAGAAAAAACAAACAAACAAACAAAAAAAAACAAACAAACAAACAAACAAAAAACGATTGAAGTGTCTAAGATGAATTACGAAGTGATTAGGGGAAAAAACATGGTGTAATGGAGTGTAACAATACACTCAGCTCACAAGACAGGACAATGCACAATATTGGGTTCACGAGAATGAGATGAGATTATATTTAAACACTTTTTTAAAGAAATTGTCAGTGATGAAACATATGACAACAAATAGTATTTTGACTAAAAGTCACAAAATGCAAAACAATGCTGGTGCATTTTGAAATGTTTTAACTTGTATCTTGTAATGAATGTCACTTCGGTTCTACTTTGTGAGTATGAATTATCATAAGCAGTAAAAGACAGAACAATATGCAGCACTGTAAAAGGATTTGCCACAAAATCAACTGACTGCCCCCAACATGTTGGTAAAATCTGCAGAAACGGAACGCAGAGGTCTCAAGTCCAGGTCTGGTATCCGCCAACCACCAATCTGTGCCTTCATGGATGGCCTGACAGTGACCACAGAGTCAGTGCCTCGAGGCAGATGGATCCTAGAAGGGCTTGAAAGGGTGATGAGATGGGCCAGGGTGTCTTAAGTGAACAAAATCAAGACCCTTGGTCTTGAAAAAGGGAAGAGTGGTAGGTGGGTTTTGCTTCTCTGTCTCAGGAATATCAATCCCTACTATCTCTGAAAAGTCAGTGAAGAGCTTGAGGAAGTTCTTTGACACCAGTCTCAGGGATACAGCCTGCATTAAGAACACCTGTGAGGAACTAGAGCGATGGTTAAAGGATGTCGACAGTTTGGGCCTTCCGGGGTAATTTAAGGCATAGATTTACCAGCATGGGATTTTGCCAAGGATACTGTGGCCACTGCTTCTCTATGATTTCCTGATCTCCACCATATTAAACCTTGAAAGAAGAGTCAGTTGCTTCCTCAGGAGATGGTAAGGGTTGCTGAGGAGTTGGGGGAGTAACATCGCCCTTTATGGAAATACCTGCAAACTAATGCTCCCCTTGAAATCTACTGAGGAGGAGTTTAAGGTTTTGTTGGCAAGGGAAGTGCTTCAATTCCAAGAGTCAAGGGACCCAAAAGTCTCTGGGGCAGGAGTAACAGTGAAGACCGTTAGGAAGTGGTAGGAACAGTGGCCAGAAGAAGGGCTGGGTGATTGATGAAGTGGTCAAATTAACCTGCATCAGGTTGTAGCATGGATGTATTATGGGTTGTGGTTAGGACTGCGATGGAGAACGTAGGTGACTGCATACTCAGTAAATCGCTATTGTTGTCCTTCTTATATCTGATCTCAAATTTTGTTAGCTGTTGCTCTGATGTCAGGTTGATTTAAAAGCTGTTCAGCTAGTGTAAACAAAGCATACAGTTTAATGTTGTCAGCCATCTTAAATGCAGGGTGGAGATAAAAACCGGCAAACTGTGATGACCCAGGTGTTTTTGTTAAAGACACTGATACACATAGTATTAGATATAGGCCTACAGTACATCTTTATCATAATAATATTCTACACCATAAAGAAAGGTAATTTTTTTTAAATTACACATTTCTGTCATGTGTTCCACCAGAGTGTGAACAAAACAGCACACACACTATGATGATTTTTTTTTTTATGTGAAACAGCAATAGCAATAGCAATTTGTCTTTGAACCTGCTACTATGCAGTTGGTAAACTGATTATGGCAGATTTGAAGGATGCAAATCTAGCCACCCAGCAGAGCTAAAATCCTGCATAAAGCTAAGCATAAAATGCATCATATATGGCAAATTCAGGAAAAGTGGAACATTCCTTGGCAAATCTCTGAGTCAATCCAGTCCAAAGTGATGTAAAGTTATGTTGATTACAGCATTCAGGTCTAATTACTGCCATTTTCACAACATGATTAAGAAAGCGGTGGTCTCCTGTCTGATCAGTTTTCATGCTATCCGAGTACTGTGACTCTGAGGCAGACCATTATGCTGAAACAATCAAATCCAGCACACCATTTTTTTTGCACATGGCTAGACAACATTGACAGTGGCAGGACATCCCACTTGGGGAAGCTAAAAGCCAGCAATGGTTGGACATAACACACAGATTGTGTTGTTTGGTTCAGCCTGTATGGTGCAGCAGCGCAAAGTGCAAAAGGAATGGCTGATGTGTAAAACAGACAAGGCAGTCTGATGACTGATGACAGACAAGGCAGTCTGATGATTATATATCAACTGGCCACACCACAGGTCAACTATCTAGGAAAATATGACAGTCTGACAAATGAAGCATCCACTTTCCAAGAAAATCCAACTGTTCTCTAGATGTTGCAGAGAGGTGTGAATGGTTAATTAATAGTGATAGGAATAGCCTAAATAGCCTAGTGAATAGTTTGGTGAAGTTGTTTATATGATCACACTGATCCACTGCTTTTTCTGTCTTAATTCAGCTCAGTCTCAGTGTTTTCACTTTCAGGAATAAAATACAAACCTAAAACTGGAAAGAAAACTGGAATGCATGTACTAATGATCTCAAACCGTATTATAATGTCCCGTAATCTCACATCTCCCGCATATCAGGCCACATACTATTTTCCTAATGACCAGTCTGGTGTGAGGCTATTGTGTAACTGCTTGGAGTCATTTACATGTGATTTAATGAAGGCAAAACAGTGAACAGCCATGCACAACAGCACTGCGTTCTGGTGCATGTGTTCTACTGCCTTCAGATGACTGCAGGACCAGAAAAGAAACATTTCATGCAGTACAAGGCAGCAGTAGCATACTGTACTGTACAGATACTACAAGAATCATTCATATTCATTTATAAATCAGAGAAGACTGATTTGCAGGGACACCGTCATTACTAGTTTAACAACATTAGATGTTATTTTATAAAACGTATGTAGGCTATTAGTTGGGGGATGTTTAGTTAAATAGGTTTATATTTTATGCATTATTCTATTATTTCTGTGCATCTGCTGCAAGAACTTAGTTTGTTCTTTGTTACTAAATTTACCAAAGTGCCAGCAGAGTGATGCTGCTTCAGAAAGACGTTGGTCTGAGACATCGATTCTTCTAAGCTCAAGAACACAAACCTGCTTTGCACTGCTTCATCTGAATAAACCTTCCTCTCCTGTGTCCCTGCACTATATGCATTGTGCTTGGCATTAAAATACATAGATGAGCAAAGCAAAGATTAAGGTCAGAAGACGATCAGAGTGCTGCTTTTACTTACTCATTAACTAAAGGCTTCTGTGTCTCTGCCTTGGACTTTTAGCTGTCTCTCTCTCACCAAAATAACTTTTTAGGCTATTCATAGCTATTTCTAATATTTCAGCACACTATTCTGTTCATATATGCAAAATATACAGAGAAATGAATGTGATGCTGAGACAACATAATCAAAATGTTTATTCCCTGGTTTGTCAGCAGTGCATCCTCCTTGACCATGGCTACTCATGTCTCTTGCACACTAATGTCACCAGTTAATGTGAAACTCCAGTCAAACTGGAGCAACAGCCAGTATTTGATGACAGCTGCACTTATCCATATTCATAAAGACACAATGTTCAGATGCTCTTAAATTACTGCCAATTTCATCTTCAATTCTAATTTCTTTAGAATTTTTAAAAAAATAATCCAACTGGCTCAAAACAGCACCTGCTGATACTGTCCCTCTCCATGTCCATACATTCATTCATTAGCTATACCGCTTATCCCCAACAGGGTCACAGGGGGGCTGGAGCCAATCCCAGCTGACACTGGGCAAGAGGCGGGGCACACCCCAGACAGGTCACTAGTTTATCACAGGAATGGCATGTAGACAAACAACCACGCACAGTCACACTTACTCCTATGGGTAACTAAGATTCACCAGTCAACCTAAGCTGCACGTCTTTGGAATGTGGGAGGAAGTCAGAGTACCCAGAGAGAACCCACGCAGGCACAGGGAGAGCATGCAAACTCTACACAGAGGGTTGGCCCAGGTTTGAACACAGAACCTTCTGGCTGTGAGGCAACAGTGTTAACCTCACATCCACACCATGGACGTATTAGCTCCTGCAGCATCTTTTAAGTCATTGGGCTCCATCTTACAATTTAGTAACCAGCTCTCACGTTACATAAATGTCAACCCAGGAAAACTAATCAATACCAAATGAGCTGCCAATCATATAGCTGGCTCTGCCCGGTGTGCCTTGATTGACAGTCATTCTGCTGAAAACGATATTATGACATAATAAAGACACGGGGAGAAACAGCATTATACATTTTTAAATAAAAATTACTGGAATCAAGGGGGTCTGTAATATATTCCGTTATTATGAAAACAAACAATGAAATATTTCATAATACGATTTTAAAACAGTGAAAATAACTTCCGGATAATGATCTTATTTTCAAAATGTGCTTGATTACTTATTTATTTTTCTACGGGTAGTGGGTCTGAAATTTCACTTGGGCAACATCAACGACGCTTTCTTCTGTAATACACAACAAAGCTAGTGATGAATGTTGATGTCTCTTTAATGTTACTGGGGATTACGTTAACTTCGTCCAATGTCTGAATATCCAACGTCAAACTGTCTACACAACGGACAGGCACTTGATATGCATTAGAAATAACGGTACAGGCAATGTCAGGTTGTCTTAGTTTAATCATTAAAGCGTGCATATGAACCACAGTCCAGAGGGCATTTTAAGTTATTACTAATCTAGCAATGAAATGGTGAAGCCAGTTTACATCTTAATAACATAACGTTAACACAACTAACAGTTAGCTACATGGGAATAAAAACGCCAAACCCGTTAACTCATGAGGCCGTCCATGTTTGAAAAGCCAAAAATACCACATTGCTCACCCTTCACTCGTCCATAGAATAAGCGGCACCTGTTCATCGCATTTTCCCGTCTTTAACGTGTTAAACAAAACGAGAAGAACAGCCAAAGCTGCAGAAATACGCTTTATATGCATCAACCCTGTCGACGCCATCTTTAGTCTGACAGCAGATGACGTAACGCTAGTTGACTAAGATCACGTGACCGAAGATTATGCATCTTTGCCTCCTCTTACTCTAAAGTGCTGGACATTAAATGCGCTTTTCTAACGGAGTGTACCACACAACGGCGTGATTTCCACTAATGGTGAACGATACGTCCTCATGGGCGATTTATGAGCCAATGGGCCCCTCCGGACAGCCATCTAAAAGGACCCACTCCTAAACACAAGGGAGACACAAATCATGTACCCAGGGCTTGAGATGGGATTTATGAGGAGCCCTTCTTAAATAAGGGTGCAGAGTTCGCAGTCCACGGTGTATTCATAGGGATTATTTCTTCAATAGAAAGTATCTGATGTGGATTATCCAGAGTGACAACAATTCTACAAAGACTTTTTTTTAAATGCTGTACCACATCATATTGGTAAAATTTCAGAGGCTGATATCTCAATTTGAGTAAGTCTATATGGCTAAACACCACTAGGGACACACAAGTCTACAATCTTGTTGATAGTACTGCAGCCTCCCTGCATATGACACTTCATACTGTTGCCCCTCTGAAAAATGAGGCAGTGAAACAGAGGAGGCCCCATGGTGCAGCTCACAGCTACACTCCTTAAAACAGGCATCATGAAAACTGGAAAGGAGGTGCGGCTCCACTAAATCAGCAGTTTTTCTTAGCCTGGAAAGACAGTTTAATAACTTATAACAAGCCCTTCGTAGTGCTAGAACCACAAATTATTCATCACTGATTGAGGAAAATAAAAACAACCCCAGGTTTCTTTTCAGCACTGTAGCCAGGCTGACAAAGAGCCACAGTGCTGTTGAGTTTAACATTCTCTTAGATCTCAGCAGTAATGACTTCATGAACTTCTTTACAAATAAAATCACAACCAATCAATAAAAAAATTATCAAATCACTCCCACAAATCAAATTCGCTCTCACAGATGTGCCATCAACTACAATGGCTTTAGAAACATCTGTAAGACCTCTCACTCACTCACTCACTCATTTTCTACCGCTTAGTCCCCAAACGGGGTCACGGGGGGTGCTGGAGCCAATACCGGCTGGCCAGGCTGCTCAGACATTTTACTGCTAATAAACACATCCATATTAGATCTGACCTCTCTCTATTAACAGGCTGTGTTCCACAGGCTTTTAAGGTTGCTGTAATTAAGCCTCTACCTTTGACCCAGGTGTCCTAGCTAATTATAGACCAATATCCAATCTCTCATTTATTTCTAAGATCCTTTAAAAGGCTGCTGCAAAGCAGTTATGTGACCACTTGCACAAGAATGATTTGTTTGAGGATTTTAAGTGTGGTTTTAGAGTCCATCACCCCCAGAAAGGCCCCAAAACACCAAGCTATACATCTGTGATGGAGTAGCATTCAGGGTTTGAAAGGTTCTCCACAAAATACTGCATTTTAATACTTCCCAGAAAAATGTTATTATCTACAGTACTATTAAATCATTTATGTACAACTGAGGATCTAAAGAGATGACAGAGAGAACAGGGCACATGGTGAGGTTATGGAAAATACAACTAAGCAGTGGACTGATTTAATGCTACAAAGAAAATAAAAGCAAATCATAAAATAGTACAATTACCATTATCATATCCTAACAGTCATTTACTCCTCATGCCTCTAAGCTCTAAAAAATAAACCATGTAATACTGTGCTGACCTACTGATCACAAATTATAGATCTATATCACTTCATGTGTACAGTATAAGCACAGAAGTACACTGCATATTAACATTTAGTATTTCAACAACGACGGATTTGTGTAATGTTGATTTTTACATCCAATGCCAACATGTTTAAAAACTCACTTTCTACATTATCTGCATATGGCACCTCTGGTATGGTTAAGTTTACGAATAGATTGTGCTTTTCGCAAATGAACTACAGCTAAGGTATGGTTAGGCAACTAGAACATTTGGTTTCCATTATAATCCATTCAATTTTCATGAAATCTGATCTAATTTTATTCTTGTAATGGACAATTATTCTGCAATAGCCACTGTATACACTGTACAGCATCTACTGTACATTCTGCAGTTATCTCTATAGTAGGTTTCATTGTTAGTGGCAGTTAGTGAGTCTGTCCGTGATTTAAATATCCCTCTTATCTTACTGAGTTCAGCCTAGCTGTTCTGTTGGGTCTCCTACAGTTGTATCAGAGCTGCATTAAGTTGCTAATGTCAGCCCAACATTTCTCACTGCTGCTGCTTCATATTAAATAACCTGGTTTAAAAAAAAGAGCAGAAAACTACTTGTGCCATATGCAGTGTGAAATCAAATACACCAGTTCTTTTGTTCTATTTTTGACAAAATACCTGCTCAGTGACTGTTCCGAGACCTTCTAAGGGACTTTTTAACTACAAGGTTAAGAAGAGGTCATGGTTATTCTAAAAAAAAAAAAAAAAAAAAAAAAAAAAAAATTCATTGCGAGTTTGTGATGTTTGGGCAATTCTGGTGTCAAGCATTATAAAGTCAGACTTGGTACATACCTGTCCTCCATTCACCCCATCCTTCACTCCCTTACTTTCCACCTTGCTACATACAATAGGACGCACTACTCCCTGCATTGGCACTGGGCTGGACAAAAACTGTGAGGTGGTGAATTGTCCAAAATTGATTTAATTTTATTATGCTGTGCTGGGTTGATGGTACCAGCGGTTTAACAGCTGTAACAAGGCTCTGTATCTTAAATAAGTTAAATGACTAACATGATTCATACGTCATGCCCTACCTGACTGTAGAAAATAGGTCTAAAAACTACAAATATTCAAGTTCTTTTACTCTTCTGGACCAGTTTGGAGGCATACATGTCACACAGCACTGACTGGTATAAATTCAACTAACTCATTCATTCGTCCATCCACTTCCTAAAGTACTTAATCCTGTTTTGATTAACAGTGGATTATAGTCTATCCTAGTAAATGAATTTGCGGAAATAAATAAAAACATGATACCAGCTTTTAAAAATGACTGAATTACAAAAGAGTTTATGGTGCACCCAAATTCAAGATAGATGTAATTGTCCAAAATGTTCAGAAGCATGTCATGACATGGTGGATTCTCAGTGTGGTGGTGTGGGTATGAGGAAGAGAAAGGAGATATAAACAGGGTAGCTAAGGTACTACCCTCAGTCCTGTTGGCTATGTGGGTTGCAGCACACAAAGCAGGATGGCTGAGACTCAGGATTTGGTCTGTATCTGCTTGTGGAGAGCCTCAGCCTGGGCTTTCAGACTCCTCAACTCCACCTGGATGAAATCAGTCAATGTCTTCCTCATCTCCAACTGAAAGAGATTAGAGAAAGAAGGTGCAACATATTTACAATTACTTTGCATTTAACTTCATCACAAACCAGTTATGTCAACTAATGAGCAATCCATTAGTTGATTAACAGATTGATTGATAAATATAAAATTTACTTGAAGATATTTTGATTGTATGGTCTAAAGAGACATTCAAGCAAACAGCAAAAATTCCCATAACAAGAGGCCCCAGAGGCCAATGTGACGTTAACAAGTGTCTTTTCAAACAAAAGTTTAAAATGCCACAGAATTGCCAGAAATCCTTTATCCATAAATTAAACATCCAAAATGCATTAAGTTTTGTTAATGTAATTACTTATTTCATAAACTTAAAAAAAATGAACAGTAATTGTGGCATGTGCAAACCCTTCTATTTGTCTACACTCAAGAGCTTTTTTAACTTATTACACCCTAATTGACTAGTCAGGACCTGTAAGCCAGTCATAATTAAGGCTGATGAAATTTCAAGTGCTGAAATTTTTCTGACTCTCTAAAGTTTGTGGTAACATTCAACAACCATAGCTTCCTTTAAGCAACTGACTGAGGATCTGAAAGTGAAGCCAACTGATGATCAGGTGGCCAAAAATATCACTGCTCATGCCAGAATTGTTTTTTTTTTTTTTTTTTTTTTTTGTTTTTTTTGGGCTTTCTCATGGCAACCTGCACAGGAGCAAATTTGTTCTCAGGCTTATTCAATGTAAACAAGATGCCCTCTCAGATTTAAACAGGTCAAAACAGGAAGCGACCCACTGACATCAGAGGACCCAACCTGACCTGTTCCTAATCAAATGGTACAGTTTCAGTCAAGAGGGAATAATTTATTTAACTGGCCTGTTAATACTTCACATTAGGGGTCAGACAAAGAGGAGGAGCCATGCTTTTACCACCACACAGTCAGAATGTATTGCACTGAGCTTTCTCAGAAGCAGTAATTTTTATATACAGTTTGTAATGAGGAACATTTATGTAAGAGCGCTGGCTGCTGAGCTATTCTAAAAGCAATTGGCTCTGAAATAATTCCTCCAGATTTTTCAGTCTGCCTTCTTCCTATGTGCTTTAAAAACAGAGGGAATTCATTGACCTTAAGCCTATTGTTATAGTTTTTCTCAGTGTATCAGTTTAACAGAATTTACAGTACATATAGTTGCTTCAGAAAGGATTCCCATTGTGCCACTTTTTTGCACATTTTACTGCATTGTAAATTCATACTGAAATGACAAAAGTTGCACTTGCAAAATGTGTAAAAACTATAGGGGTAGGAATTCTGTATCTCTTACAACTGTATATCTGTATGTGGAATTCATCATAGTTGAAGGCTTGACATATTTTGACAACTGCATGAACTAATGTCCATGTGATGTAATGATGTGAACAGTGAAATAATTTGTAACATTTCTGAAAAGAAACTGACCTACTCTGATCAAAATGACAGCCTACAACTGATAATTGTTCAAACAGCAGACAACTAGACTTAATCATTTCCTGAAATATGTTAAACAGTTGCTATTTGTAAGAAAAGATCAATAAATATTGTGATTTTGCAGATGAAAATACATGTTGTGGAGAATCTCAAACTTTCATCTGTTTCCAGGTTCTCGTTGTGGTCGCACTTTGAATATAATGAAGAGATTATTTAAAGTAACAGAAAATCTATCACACAAAAGGGATGTTTAGGTCATCATCTAGTGACGAACAACTGAAGACATCTCTTGTGTGCACTGGAAATCCTTTTACTTTCTGCAGCTTGGCACCCTGTTGGATGTATGAGAACGCAGCAGGGCACAGGGTTACTATTTACTGATTTAGCAGTGATAAACCAAATTACAGTGTCATATCAAAGTAGTGGGCATGCAGTTGTGGTCACTTTAAGGTTTTAAATGATATATGAGAGAGCCTACATATACATTTAATTTGTCAGCTACTTTCGCCGTCCATCCATCTGCATTTTCACCACTTTTGCAGATTTACCTTGCTTTATATTCCTAGTAGCCCTCCAGCAGAACCTCTCTAGAATGTTCAGTCTGAGTTTAAGAGCATGTGATACTACTGCACCATGGCAATGGGTATATAAAGAGCAGAGATTCCTTTTTAATTCAGTGGAGCTAGAAACAGCCAGCCATGGACACCGTGCCACTGTCACAGAGCCAGGACCTGTTAGCTAAAGGTAGCTTCAAAGCAGTGGCTGCATTTTGAACAGTTTATCCCAACCAGCCGTCCATAGTTTCCATCATTGCTAGCAAAGAAGACACAAGTTTGTTCCGAGTTTCACTAGCTAGCTAATTCACCCTCTAGTGGCTCAAAAGAAATTTGTTAATGTACCTTTAAAATGTCACTGAAATGCTGTTAAAACAAGATTATATGCATATTCAAAGACTACTTTTAAACGGCATTTAGTCCAGCGTTATGATGTTCAAGACTTTAAAGCTGCTTTACAATCATTTTCACTGAGAAATATGGTCAATAACTATGACAGGAATGTTCTAAGTGTGACCAATAACAACACAAGAAATGATTATTCACAGATCAGTGGCTTATGTAGCTAACACTTCACACATACAGTTATAAGAAAAAATAATGGCACTATTTGCAATTTCCTGGTTTTCTGCATAAATTGGTCATGAAATGTGATCTGAGCTTCAAATTCACAAATATCAACAAACACGATATTTCTAACCTGATAAAACAGTCATGATTTTTCATGTCTTTATTGAACACACCCGTTAAACATACAAAGTGATGGTGTAAAAAGTAATGGCAACACCAGACTACTGATGTCACTAAATGTCAAACTGGAGCCAAGTGTTGGCAAACCTGGAGTCCGATCAATGAAACGAGAATGGAGGTGTGGTTTAGAAGGACCTTGAACTATAAAAACACTCGAACAGTGTCCGTGTGCTATTCACAAGCAGCATCAGCTGATGTGAGCCATGCCTCACAAAAAAAGAGATCTAAGAAGACCTACGATCAAGAGTTGTTGATTTGCATGGAGCTGGAAAGGGTTACAGAGTCATCTCAAAGATTTTAGATGTTCATCAGTCCACAGTTAGACATAGTGTGACAATATAGTTAGACAATATGACCTCAACCCATCAGAGATGCAGTGGGATGACCTCTAAAGCCATTCACAACAGACGTCCTTAGAAAATGGCTGAGCTAAAGCAATCTGTAGGAAGAATGGTCCAAAATTCTTCCTGAACATTGTGCAGGTTTAATCCACAGCTACATGAAGCGCTTGTCTAAGGTTATTGCTGCCAAATGTGGTTTAACCAATTATTAAAACACTGTTACCATTACCTTTTGCACCATCACTTTGTATGTTTAATGAGTGTGTTCAATAAAAACATGAAAGATCACGAATGTTTGTTTTATCAGCTTAGAAATATTGTGTTTGTTGATACTTGTGACTTTGGTCAAGATCAGATCACAGTGCATGAACAACTTGGAAGGAAACTAACTCATGAGGTAGGCAGGTAGCATTAAGGGCCTTGCCTAAGACCCCACGCTGGATACTGACGTGACTGGGGTTCAAACCCCTGACCTTCCATACCAAAGTCAGTGGTGACAACCACTGAGCTATCCAGTCTGAGACAATCCAGCACATAACAGCGGGGTGCAAGATGTTAGACAGGGCATACGTGGAACGCCATAACCAAGTGGCTGGTATAGTGTACAGAAACATCTGTGCGGAGTACAGGCTAGAAGTCCCAAAGTCAAAATGGGATACACCTCCAAAGGTGGTTGAGAATGACCAAGCTAAAATCCTGAGGGACTTCCAGATACAAACGGACAAACTGGTAATGGCCAACCAACCGGACACAGTAGTGGTGGACAAACAAAAGAAGGCCGTAGTGATAGACGTAGCAATCACAAGCGATCGCAAAATCAGGAAGAAGGAACACAAGAAGATCGAGAAATACCAAGGGCTGAAAGAAGAGCTAGAAAAGATGTGGAAGGTGAAGGCACAAGTGGTCCCTGTGGTAATAGGAACACTGGGGGTTGTGACCCCCAAACTGGGAGAGTGGCTCCCTGAAGTGGGGCGAGTGGGGTATTTTTTTTTCAATTTTTTTTAATATAAATAAAATTAATAGTGATCACACTAATGTAGCCTACAGTAAACAGGGCAGGCAGCATTTAACAGAAAGAACACCTTTGGGTTTGTGTAATGGCATACTGGGGAGCGAGCATGGATACTGGGGAGAAGGAATTCCATTAAATGGTGCACTGTGTACATATGAATCTATCCTGTCCTCACCTGGCTCTTGTTTTCAGCTCGGAGGTAATGGAGAAGTTCCTTCACACTGAACGGTTTACCCACCAGGATTGTAATTCTCTGAAGAAAAAAAACCCACCAGTTAAAGCTACACTGGTAAAAACAAGCCTTGCTAAGCAAGATTTATGAAAGCAACATTCTAGGGTTAGGTCCAAGTTTTCTTGCCTTGCCAGTCTGAGGAATGTAGGGCGTCACATTGGGTAGAACGTCGCTCAAACCTGAGACAAAAGTAGAACACAAAAAAGGACAATTACTTGCTTGCATGAAGCAATCAGTGTTCTGTCAGCACCTGTATCCCCTGTGATGGTCCATTGTCATACTTGATATTTTGCATTCATTTCTAATTAGACCTGTTTCTAAAAAACAAGGAACATAGTTTTCTTCATATCAATAAATCCCGTGAAAAGACAAAGAACAGCAAGGTCTGTGGCTCTCACCTCCAAGCTCTTTGGTTCCTACTAAATATTTAAAAATATATCACTTAGTGACTATAATCTGCAAATTTGCTTGAGCAGTGATAAAAAAAATTTTTTAAGTGTAAGGCCATAACTGCTATGTCTCCGGTTCAGATCTGGCTGGGGACCTATGTTACATGTCGGTTTCGTTTCTGTCCATATTTCCTATATGCTTTCAACAAACAAAATAATGAAATAATGAAAAAATGCAATTAAACTGTAAGTAGTTGCCTGTATGTGCAGTATGTTAATTTCCTATATATGACATTTTAGAAATTGAGTTTTCTGATACCTCCTTGCAGTTGTTACTATTTAAGGTGTAACAGACTCTAAAAACAAAGTGGTGAAACAGCAGAACACATGGGATAATTTGTTGTCATATGTGGTTTGTACTGTGGTGCTGGGTTACTCACCCACATGCCAGAGCGGCAGGATAATCGGATTAAGGGAGCACTCCGCTATTAACCGACCCACACCTAAAGCAACAAACCAGAAATTTGTGTATCTGAACCAGGATTATGTAACACTGACACACAAGTCAATACATCTTAAAAGTGCCAAGGACTATATGCATACAAATAATCATTCTACATTAATCTTTCTAAAGCTCTTTCAACTGTGACCTTCACAAATCTACTGCATCTTCTTGCTGAAGGTGTTGAGAATGTACAGAATTATACTGTACAAATTGTTAAACTATACTTTGCATGAGCCTAAACACTCAAAAACATGCACTCCACTCACCCCATTTTAACCGAATGAATTCTTCAGTCATGTTGACTTTGCCTGTTAAATGATAAATGAGGGAAGGAATGCTTATTAATGGTAAATGGACTGTATTTATATAGCGCATTTTTCACAGTGTGATGCACTGGCCAAAGCGCTTTACAGGAGATCATACACCATTCACCCATTCACACACACATTCACACACGACAAGGCTGCCACACAGCGGCGCTAGTCAAGCCACCGGGAGCAATTTGAGGTTCAGTGTCTTGCTCAGGGACACTTAGGCATGCGGGGACATTATTAACAAAAATTTACCAAAAAAAAACATGAAGGCTACAGAAAAAGAGGGAAGGATGACAATGCAGAGTGAAGCTGTGAGCAGAAACGTTAGCATACCCTCTGGAAAAATGTGTACCCATTCTCCTTTGTTCAGTTTCTCCAGAATAAAATCCATTCCTTTCTGGTAAACACCATCACCTAAAGAAAGCACATAATATACAGTAAGTCATTCATTCAGTGGACAATAAAAAATGCTAACAGATGCTCACCTCTACAGATGGGAACACACTTTCCACAGCTGAAGAATCTGGAATGCAGCTCTCTTGTGAAGCAGATGTCAGATGCTGCTGGGGCCCTGTCAATCACAGGCAAATGATTAGTCATTAGCCACAAAATGTAATCATTTTTTACAAACAAGTGAATGTGGTGTAAAAAAACAACTGAAGCTCACCACCGCATTTTGTTGAAGTTCCACAACTGTCGGAGCTTGAGCATGCCTGTCGTAAATAAAGATTATTTTGGATTTTATCAACTAAAATGATTGTGTGATTATTTCTGTGCATCTGTCCTTACCCCAAATATGTGGATCATCCATACAGGATTGGTGATTTGACAAAGTAATAAGAGGTGTGTCAGAAGGCCTCTGGTCAATCAGGTTAATCAGAACCTCACGGTTGTGGACCGTCAGACAGTTCATGTATTCTGAAGATGAATAGATTGAGAGGGAGAATGGAAAAACAAAAAGCAATAGGTGGGATAAAAAACTGAAAACCTGTATTACTTCTTTTAGAAAGTAAGACTATTCTTGCAAGGTATTTGGTGTATTAGTATTGTGTGGTATATATTGAGTACATATATAACCAACTTACTAATCCAGAAGTAAGAATATGAGCCCACCATGCCCATGATCAGTGAACTGGAGACCCGCCATGCCAAAGCAGGGCATTGTGGGAATGGCCATCTGACCTCCAGGGGCATCACCGCATTCTGCAGACACTACATCCGAATACATAAACCTGATCCAACCCAAACAGAACAGGAAATGGTTAAAGCTAAATTTAACAAGGAATGAAATGTTCTTTTTGCTTTGGTTAGAGTTAACAGGGCACTAGGTCAGTTCTTCATCATGGGATGACGCCTTCTCAAGTACAAAAAAAAAAACTACTGTGATGACATCACAGTGATGTCATCAGTATTGTGTGGTATATATTGAGTACATATATAACCATATATAACATGATGACATCACAGTGATGTCATCAGTATCCTTCTGTCTTGGGTTTGAATACAAATTACAAACAACCAAAATACAATATATATACAAGCAGAAAAAACCTAAACAGGGTGGTTATACTGTACATAATAGGGTTGCAATTAATGATTTGAATTGATCATCTGCAAATAATTTTTTCAATAAATCCTTTAATCTATGAAGTAGTCTGCATTTCATCTTCAGCTCTTGCTTGATGTGGTGTCTCTCTTCCTTCAGTTGGATGTAAGTAAATAAGGGGAATGCTGCTCAACTGGCCTGAGATCAGGTGATAAAGTCGCCCAACTGAGGATATTCTACCTCTTGATTATGAATAGCTCCTATGTTGCTTTGGCCTCATGTTTCTGATGGCTGTCCTAAATGTTGATACATCTGGCTGAATGCAAGCACACAGAATACCTCTGCATTCATCTTGTAGCTTCTGTCAGCAGTGAAATCATCAATAAGTACCAGCCATACATGCCCAGGCCATAACAGAACCAGCACCATCTTTGACAGATGAAGTGTTTATGCTCCCATCATTTTGATAGTGGTTGGTTTTTGATTCCTGAGTACATCAAACTTTGTTCCAGAACTCTTACAAGTTTCTGTCTTTGTGAATTGCACCCTGACCTTTGACTTTATGAGGTTTACATCTTGCAGCATGCCAACACTCTCCCTCTCAGTCAAACAGCCCTTCCATAGCCTGGAAGTGTATTTGGGGTCATTGTCCTTTTGAAAGACAAATGATTGACCCGCTAAGCTCAGACCCCCACATGCTCACATCTCCTCATCCATGTTTCACACATGCAGACACTACTCACTCACCTTCTCTAGGTGGTTGGAACAAAAAATTAGAAATGCCCCAATTTCTTGGCCAATTCCTTTTTTTTTTTTTTTAAAGTCTGACCTGCCAATTTTGATTTTCATTTATGGAACCATAATTGATAGCATACGAAAACTTTTTTTAACACAAAACTTTCTGTAGATTTGAGTGTTCAGACCTGCTGCCTGGGTGTTTTGTACTTTCAGTCTGAAATATGAAACATTTAGCTTTATTTAGCCTAACACTTCATGGTATTGATGAAAATCTGAATAACAAAGAAAAACCACAGAATGACAAGGTATGTCTAATCATATAGTACAGGTTACATGTTATAAAACGCTTACAAGTGGCTTATTAGTATTTTGATGTTGAAGAAATGTAGCATTTCCTTTTCTCATTTAACTAACGGCATCTTAACACTCGCATCTAAGATCAAAATATCAGTGTTATGGACAAGACCAAGTTGACGTTAGGCTGCCAGCTAACAACAAGCCAAAGTTCACTGGCACATGCAGCTCTGAGGCATGACGCTAACGTTAGCCCTGTAAAAATAAATCCACACAACGGGCAAACTCTGAGGGAGTTTCAGCTTTGGATTAAACGTTAATAACAATAATTCTGTTGTCTACGTGCATCTTTATTTTCATTACGTACGTATAACATTCACGTAGTGTGTAGCTCTATGGAAACTTAACATTTAACTAACATTTCTCTCTACATCACCTTTCTCCCGTTGACTGCCTGACGGCTTCCGTGACCTAACTACTTCTTCTTCTGTTGGCAAACAACTTTTGTGAATTACCGCCACCTTCTAGAATGGAGTGCGGACCAAAATAGCTTCTACTTCTGCGTCTTCTTCTTTTTTATTTTTTATTTTTTTAAATGTTTCCTCTAAACAACAATGCTAATCAAAACAAGATTTTTAAGCACAAATTGTTGCAACAGATGGATAACAATGTGCATTACTCTTACTTTTACTCTCACTCTCACCCTTACTCTTACTCTTCTTCTTCTTCTGCTTCTTCTTCTTCTTCTTCTTCTTCCTCTGTTGTTTAATGGCGGTTGGCAAACAACGTTAGGTGCATTACCGCCACCTTCTAGACTGGAGTGTGGATCAGAACAGCCCGTGCCTACTACAACTGTAATAAAATAATCTCACTCAATTCATACTCAGTCCTGTACCCTCTAAAAACCTAAAGTGCACCCTTTGCAACACCTCTGTTAAACTTAAGCTCATGCTACCACTTTGAAGTGTATTTTGAAATAACTCCCTCTCCTGCTTGAGCCTTGGACAACTAAAAAAAAAACAAACAAAAAAAAAACATGCTCCATAGTTTCCTGCACCCAACAAAGCTCACATTCACCAGTATTATGCTTCTTCATCAAGTTCAATGTACTATTCAAACCAGTGAGACCAAACCTCATTCTTGAAATCATATTTTCTAAAACCAGTGAGACCAAAGCTCATTCTTGAAATCATATCTTCTAAAACCAGTGAGACCAAACCTCATTCTTGAAATCATATCTTTTTCCTGCCTATTCCTAGTACTTTCTCTCACTTCTCCTACTTTCCTTTTAATACTGTAATACTACTGACCCTTGCTTTCTAAATGTGACTGGAAATTAAAGTCACATACTGCTTTGTGGGTATTGGAGTTTTTTTAATCTCTAAGAGAAAAGCATAGCTGCAGGAAGAGGAACGTCAAACGTGTACCCCTACTTCTAAATGGCTGAAAATATCATATTTATCCTATTTTATTGTGTTTGTATTTTATTGTTTCATAATAGTCGATGAGAAGGAGGCGACAGTGGTGCGGTGGGTAGAGCAGTCATCTCCCAACCAGGTTAAAGGTTCTGAAATAATAATGTAAGAGTTCAAAGTATGGACCCAAACACTGAAACACCAAGCAGAGTAAAAACTGTAAATGTAGCAGTCTTTACTCTGTGCCAGAGGAAAAACGGAAAATGCCCACCATGACACACACACCTCAAAAAGCTGGTTACCATACACAGATCTTCATAAAATACTTGAACAGGCTGACAGAAAAGACTGTCCCTGATACTGTCCCCACTCCCTACTCGTGAAACAATATTGTATTAGATGGCACTTATCCTAATGAAACATCTTCAAAATGCACCCATGATTTGAACCAGGATTGAAGAGGTTTATAATAATTGTCTTAAAGCACTTGTTTAACCTCTTCCATGATGATAGAGACTTCATTTTCCCTAAACATTGTTTTCCCCCACAAAAAACAGACATACGTTTTGATTCAAACAGGTTTTATTTCACACCGGCAGATGGCACAATCATAACACACTTCAGAACTAGGTTTACATTGTCTTAGCTACATCAATAGCTCAGAAATAAGTTTACAATGTCTTAATAAGATCAGCACATGGGGCTATCGTAACACAATCGGATATAGACAACAATCGCAACAATAGGATGATGTAATTATGCTCTGTGAGAAATCTAAACAATCCACGACAGACAGAATGCGGTTTACATTTTTAACACAAGCAAGTTTAGAAACAATCACATCAATCTTCATGGATAAAATGCTATTTTAATCAGTGAATGTTAAATGTGAATCAGGGGCACACATCTCCCTGCACAATTGAAACAGGAAGTCAGGGGGTCATTGATGTGCGCTGATATTATAGGATATTGTTCTGCTACAAGAGATTCAGGCATGGCGTTTCTCAAGACCCAGAGCCCCAATCAAATGGTGATGTTTTCCTGATATTTGAGATCTGACAGCATTATTCAAAAGGCTGCAAACTCTTTGCTTGAGCATGTACAAACACACAAATTTACCAAAGGTTCTTACACAGTTCCCCATTCTCCCAGTCAATTTTGGCCTCAGACAGTACTGTATGCAGACACTGGCTCCTGCCCTTGCGGTGCCTTCCAGGTGATTCAGACTGGCGTAAATGTGCACAGTCTCCTTTAGTTCATAAAGGCAGGCCTGCACAGCTCCACGAACATGGTTAGTGTGTGGTTCAAAACCTTCCAGACTCAGGATTTCTAGAGCAGTTGGAATGAACTCCGGGACTCACAGTCTTTGTAGCATGTCAAAATAGATGTTAAAATACCATTTAAACAGATGATCTGAACAGGTGTGTTTAGATGGTTGGGCCCCAGTAGCACACACACACACACACACTGCAATGATTGTACATGAGCGGTGATCACCAATTTAAGTATCTCCACCAAAGTCAGTTTAATAAAAGGACATCAGGTTTTAATAAACTCTCCACTTCGTCCATGCACTCTACCTCAGCACCAGCTGAACTGGGTGCAAAGCTGGGGTCAGAGTTAGGCAGGGTGTCAGCTTTACTCCAATCCTCCACCTCTCTCAGTGAGAGACTGGCTGCTGTAGTGGTCGGAGTGTCCAGAGATAGAGAGTAGCAAGTCGAAGTCACCTTGGTGGTCTACGGACTGTACGCTGTCAAGGGAAACTCTTCCTTACTGCAACAACGGCCCACTCCAGGCCCACAGACCAGGGTGGATCCCAGTCACCAGCATCAGTGCTCTAAACAGTGTCGCTGCTCCAGCTGCATCCTCTTCCATACATGTCCACTGTAAGTTCAGTTGCCTTGATAAATATAACGGGCCCCACATGATGGTAAGATTACACACCAAAGTCACATGTTTATCAAAGATTTTAGTGGATAACTTTCTGTCAAACTTAGTCTGGGGGGGTGTTGCACTATTCCCACAAGAAAAAAGACTTTATGATATGCAGGTGCAAGCTATAAAATAATAAACACTCCAGAAAACAAGATGGGGGATGGGTGGGGGGGTAGGCTGGGGTTGTGAGGGGCAAGTTACAAAAACATTGTGACGTCAGAGTCTTGACACTCATGGTCTCAGGCAAAATTTATTCAAAAAGGTTATAAAACTCCCCTGGACCTGTACACAAGCCAGACGAACCTCAGGATCACACCAGAAATAATAAATAGAAAGTTTTGGCAGAGCTTGTCAATTAATACTGTACATAGTGCCCAATTCAAACTAAATGCTGCTAAATTTCTCATCTGATATTTTCATACACAACTTAAACATTAAAAAGGCTAATATATCTGAAAACCATTCATAAATGTGCCTTTACACTGTATCACTGCTCAAAAATGAGCAGAAAATCTTGATTTAAACAATTTAAAAAAAACTGTATTTGGAAATGTGAAATTACATTTCAGAATACAATTTCTTGTATTCTAATTACTATTCTTTATTTTTCATATCAGCATTGTGAAATGTGACTCCAGAGATACAAAACACTCACAATAGTTTGTGATACAAAGAAACTTTGTCTCACTGAAAGGCTGGTCCAGACTGGGGGGCAGTTATATACATTTTATAACAACCTGGCTTATTTTCACCAGTTGGGTGCGAATGAGTTCAGTGCCATTAATGTCACCTCAAAACCTAAGAAACATGCCTGAGAGAGAAAGGGGGGGGGGGGGGGGGGGGGGGGGAGGGGATACCACA